GTTAACAACATGTTTCTCTAAGGGAAACTGGGTGGGTGGTTGTTCAAAGACTTCCCTGTTGAGTGCACAGCGTGATATAAAACATAGGGAACTGCTGACAAAGTCACCAGCCTGGCACTTCGGAGACCTGAGTTTTATTCTCCAATTTCCTCAAGCAAGTCACTTCTCACCCGCTCTCTGCCTCTTTCCCAGCTCTTGGGGTTGTGGACTTTCCCAGTAGTTACCCAGTGCCCAATGTAACACGACCCCAAGTTTTTATCAGGCTAACCACGGCACACAAAGAATGACGAACAATATTTCTAAGGAAGGTGCTCTGCTAGGAGTTTGAATACAAGAAAATTAAATTAGAACTCAAAGGTATCCCAAGTACCACCAGTTCCGAGTCCAAAGGAAAAAAAAACTCAAGAAGATTAAGCCAAGTACCTCTGGCCAATCTTTATCCTTTAACTGCAAAGAAAAGCAATCTTTATGTGGTGATAAAACCATCCAAGAATGGCTGTGGCTGTTTCTTTTAAATGAACCAGAGAGAACAGATGGTCTCCTCTCCTACTGTCACAAAGGTCAAAATTAGCCACCCCTAAGACTAGGCAGGTTCTTGAAATGCTCAAGTGCTTGTGTCTGGTCGTTGTGACTAATCCAGTCTCCAGAACAAGAAAGGTCAAATGAAGAACACCCCTCCAAATACTGCAACAACTCCTAGCCACGGCTGATGTGTAATGCACTCAGACATGGTGTCAACAGCTGCTCCTAAAACCCAATGAGTCAGCCTTTCAAAAGATCTTGTCAGCTCTCACTGTTAGAGCTTTCATACAGATTATATTTACTCTCCAATGTTTAAAAATATCCTTCTTAAACCTTGAAAACATAAAATGTTTTCCTTATAGATTTGTCCTTTTACCTCAGACAGCTGCCCGAAAAAAACCCCAAACAAACTCCCTTGTGTTTATTCGGGAGCAAAACTTCCTAGCTCTTCTTTCTTCTACTTTCCTCTTCACGTGCTGACAGCTAAGCCAAAGGCAGGCCTCTGTTTCTGAAGTCATATACAAATGAGGAATTTCTGGTCCCTTTCACAACTTTTACCTGCAGTCAGCCTTCCAGAGTACTGTGAGGTTAAGTGTTCTGCTCAGCAGATAGGGTGCAGAGACATCGGGTGACTTGCCTCTGGTCCTCCAACAGGCATGCAGGCACAAATCCCCTATCCATCCCCTACCCTAATCACCAATCTCCCTTGGATGCTGTCATTTAAATAAAAATGCCTATTGGAAATGACAGGTGAAGAAAGCAGTCCAGGCATGAAATGCACTCTAAAGTATATTAATAGAAGGTTGCCAGACAAAACGGCGCAAGGCATTTGATCGCATCATCTTAGGCTTGTTTTTCATGCTCCTTTGCATCTGGCTGCGTGATTTCTGCCAGATTCTCGGCTGGAGGAGCAGGCTAGGATTTGCCTGCTTTCCCCAACCCGTGCCGGGCTCAGCTGCAGTCATGCAGAGCACTGAAAGAAATCCCTTTGAGTCGGGATTCATTCCGAACATGTAAAACCCAGACAAATGACTGCTTCTCCAAAGTGAATCCCATTTCACAGCAAGTAGGTTATTAGTGTGGAACTCCATACGAGTAGCCTGCATTCAAAAGCCCTCTGCATTATTAATAGAAGATGAGCTTTTGACATCAAAGGAGAACCATTATGTATGCTAAACGGTGGCAAAAATTGTACCCGCACTTCAAACCTTTCAGTTCTTTGTCCCTTGTAAATCAATCAAGGTTGACAGATGCTTTAAGGAGAGTAATCTTTTCAATGATACTGTCAATGGATAACATAATGGAACATTGTCTCTGTGCTGTGTGAAGACATGGAGCTAGTCAATTATGGACAACACTTCATGCAGCCGCCAGTTTTCACTTGAAGTGCTGCTGTTGAAGTATTATAATCCCAACAAATGGCCACAGCGGCATACAATGTAAATGAGACCTCCTGAAGCTTTGGAAAATTAATTAGTAACAACAGTGGTCCATTCCCACACTTTCAAACACCAGCCTGGTAATGTTAACGATGCACTTCCCCCCTTCCCTTTGAGCAGTCAATAGGGCATATTTACATACACTATTTTTAATCTTCAACACTTTTTTTCCTCCCTTTTAAATGCAGGAAGCTCTGCATTCCTTTCCTCTCTTTTGAGCAGCAAACTTCACCCCCGATATTTCCAACCAGTCACATAACCCACATGGCTGGAGCTGAAAACAAGAGGACAGAGACTTTCCCACTTTGAGACAGAAGTAATATTCACTCCTCTTGCTTCACACAAGTCAGACACTTTGTGGCTGTCTCCTTTTCCAACACTTCTATCCCCTCAGCTGCCCTGAGAAGAATGGCTTGGATGGATGGCTGGGAAAAGCTTCTAATCTCAAGAGATCTGTAGGATGTGAGTTGAAAGCCCGATGTACTGAGTGCCAGCAGCACCTAGGTCAAACGGTGGTGGGCTGGATGCCAACATATATATCTGACTGCCAGCTTCTACAGAAAAGAGATTGAGAGTCAAAGGGGAGAGATTGTGCTGGTTATTTAGCTTTTGGCTTCTATTCCCTACGTCATTTTCTCAAAGATTTTCCCTTTGTCAACTGAGCCTTGCGCTAAGAGGAACACTTAATCTCCCACAGTAACAGAGAGAAATCCCACACTTGAGCACAAAATTTCTCAACTCCTATCAATTGCAGGTGTTCATTGCTATGATCTGTGAATGTCCCCTTATCTATAATGTGTTTTTGAAACACCCAGGTGCAGATAAGAAACTCAATCACTGAGGTCTTCTCGGACAAGAACAGGCTGTTCCTTGAACCCAACTCCCTCTTTCCTAGGCTCCAAACAGCTGGGAACAGATGCAGCTGCTGTCCCTCCTCATTTGGTACTGATTCGGTCTTCTGCACTCTGGACAGTTTTCTGAGAAGCCCTTGCAGAGGTTGACTGCAGGAAGCTTCACACTGCAGCAGCCTCCGGAACCCCCAAAACATATAGACAATGGTTAAACAATACTGACAGTAGTTAAACATTACTATGAGGCAACAGAGGAAGCAACAGCAGCCACACACCCTCCCAGGCATTACCCAGCCAGCTGCCACTGCTGATCCCAAGAGCAGCAAAATGTTTGGTCTACTAGAAGCTCCCCTCCTGGGAATAGAAAAGGAAAGGATGTCTTCTACCTAGCCTTAGAAAAGTGAGACTGATCCAAACTTTTTCCCACTCTTGCATAAAACAAACTACCATAGAATAGAGAAACAGACAGGAATCAGGAGCTTTCAATTCCTCCTTACTTTTGCTGGAACAGATCTGTCAAGAAAACAGTGGCACAATTCCATTTCTATACCACTTCCCACTCAAACTCCACAGCGCAATATGCACAAACACAAGACAAAAAAAAAAAAAAAATCTCTGCTGCATCTTGATGAGAAAGCTTTAGGCTAGCATTCTTGCCATGATGAAAATGGTCTTTTTTTCCAATTACAGTTTCTTTCGCTCTGCAGACTTGTCTGCTTCTGTGTCTGTTTTTAGATTTTGTTTCTCTAGAGCTAAACACACGGAATGCTGCAGGGTCCCTATCCTCCTCCACCCACCACCTCTGCAACGAGCTGGTTGGGATGGCACTGCAGAGGAAGCAGGCACCATGCCCCAGCTGTCCCTAGTTTATCTTCAGTACCAGGAGGATGAAGTAGAACGAAAAAGGAGACAACAGAGACTGGGGAAAATGTATAGTGTGTAACAAAGATAGTTAAGAATATAATAGACACAAAATTAGCATCCAAACAATAGGTTCTTCTGCTCTTCTCTGCTTGGTGCAGGATTCCGTAGTCATTTTTAATTGAGCCTGTTCCTATTATATAGCTGCCAAATGTCATCCACAGCCTTCCCTCCTCGCAGCTCATGGCTGGAAGTTCCCTCTGCCTTGGCTGAGATGCATTTCTGAGTATTCCTTATCTCAGTCAAAGCAAAATGGGACACCAAACACCTCTCACTTTAAAGACTGTCCACTTAGGCAAACCTGGAGCGCACAGATTGAAACAGAGCAAGGGGTAGCTGTATGGAGCTAGCTTAGCTGGCAGCTCCACAGGTGTGTAAAGTGGGCCAGGAGAAACAAGCAAACAGTTGCAGGTGAGCTTGGATGTTGTTTGTTCCGCTTGCACAGCTTTCAAGGAAAACTGATCCACAAAAGAGGCTATGGAAAGGGTCAGGATATTATACTTGGACACAAATTTGCAACACCCTGGACCAGAGTCTTAAATCTACTGGCTCCTGCAGAGCCACTGCAACCAAAGTGTACTAAGAATCTGTTCTACTCTATTTGAAACTTTCTTTAAAAACATATACCCCTTTCCAACTCATTTACAGCAGTTTATCATTTATTTCCAATATCCAGAGATACCTACATGCATAACTTTCTTCCAAGTTACAAGAAATGTATTGAGCAATTGCAGATTTTCTTGCAGAACAGTTTGGTTGTTTTTGGTTTTGTTTTTGTGGTAATATCAAAGAATTTCAAAAGAACAGGTTGCTTTTGTCACAACTTTCAACAGAAAATTATCTAACTTTTTCTTTCAAGGTTATTATTTTTACTTCTATTTGCTATTATATTATTATTTAAAGTGTACAAGTGAAAAAAAAGCCAATGTAATATAAACAATGAAACAATAAAGATGATTCAGTTGATTAAAAGACAGGAGATGATCTGATAAAAATTAAGTATTCCAATAATTCAGAACCAAAGGTTATAATATGAAAGATGAAGAACCTGCTTCTCTTCATGTGTCTAATGACAATAATTAAGATCACAACTTACCACTTTTGTATAAGGTAAGTACAAGAGGGAAGATAGTAGCTAATAATGACAAAAATTTTAAGTAGCCTTCTATTCATATTAAAATAAAGTTCACACAATCCAATTAGGCCAGAGATTTATCATTAAAAAAAGTAAATTAGGAAAAAATTAATTAAGAGAAACATTGCTTACATAAGAGAAGTCTTCAGCATTCTGACAGAGTAGCTTGGGAAAAACAGCCTGTCGCTGAAATCTTTCCTCGTCTTCAAAGATGTTCCCATACATGAAGCCATTCATCATGGTGGAGTGGGCATGGATGTCAATATAGAACTCCAGGTTAATCTTCTGTTGAGGGAAAACAACAACAACAAAAAACATTCAGCATGAGATAAATCATAACTGTGTTATGTAGGTGAAGCCTCCCATAAATCCTATACTGCCATCCTTGAATCTGAGCATGGTGCCAGTGTCCGAGAGCCATGCTAAAGACATTGCTTTGATGCACCCAGCCATTCATGCCTCTGTGGCTGCATGTGAGATGCAACACAGGACATGATAGACATTTCTTCACCAGTTCTGAGAAGAGTGGAACATTTATTCAGCACAGGACACTGTGCAAAACAGAGCGAAAGCATTATCCTTTGCTTTGATACAAGGCTCAGTGCCACTGATAAAAATAAGCATCTTCCAGTTCTAAAGCATGACTGTTCAAACATAGCTTTGCCATCTCTGCACAGTTCTGCATCACAACAGGCAGATGTACCCTTCTGCCAGGAAAGACAGGCTCAAAACTGTGTAAAAAGAGACTTCAGTATTTCCTGTGCGGTTTATTTCAGTTTGTAGGGAGAAACACCACAAATGTTTTTGTCTTGCTCTGCTTGGTAATAATAATTCAACAGAACAACTCCCAAAAGCAAGTGCCTTGAATGTCTCTCTGCTTGTAGCTTCCCACGTAATTCTGCATTAACTCTTGTTTCAGAAGAACCAGGACACCCTAACACAGAAGTGCCTGCTCTCCCCACACGCTTCCTGGACTGGCAATTCAGCGTCAAAAGGCTCTGTATGAAAACGCTGCTCAAGTCTCCAGTCCAAGGAGACATCTTTTTCCTCACATTGTGCATACGTGATAGTACTTCCCCTGCCATCAGTGGCAAGGAGTGAATGTTCACCTTGATCACCATGTACAGTGCTGTTGATGGCAGTGAGAAGGCAACATCCAGTACTAAAAAGTGCTACCAGAGCAGATGCCACCAGATTACCCAGAGTTTCCTCCAGCTCTTGCAACTTCTGGTCTTGAACAAACGGTGCTTTGTGACTAGACAGTGACAAACTCTCCACTGTCACCTGGCCACGATGGAGCCAGTTATAATATTCCCGTTGACCAGAGGGTTACAGTTCGGATCTCCCTGCCCCAACAGGTGGACAGAGAAGAGCCCTGTTAACAGCACAGCGACCACGATGCTTAGACCTGTACCCCTTGGCAGCAAATAGGGACCCTGGCCAGTAAAATACAACGTGTAGCTCTCCAGCCACGTCTCATCTGCACACAAAGCTTGCTTAGGCTGCTGGAGAATACTGAGCTACAAGACGGTCCAATGTAATACAAACGCAGTTTGTATTATGCAGTTCATGTGACAGCAGTGTCAGCTCTTTTAGAGAGTCTCTGATGGGGGAGAACATCATTCGGTATGCAAAACTAATATGATACAGATTTACTTTCCCCTGGCAGAAAACCAATGTACAATACACAGTGACTGTTTAATTAAACAGCCTAGAGAGAGTCATACTGTATCTTATTAAGCCTCTCCTATGTTAAAATGTTAGCTAATGCAATATGAATATCTGACCACGCTTCATAGGAAAAGGAACATTTGATTGTATTTGACTCTAATACAATAAATTGTTTGCTCCTGCCAAAGCATTATGCTGTGCTATAGAGGACCAACGCTGCAATAAAGCACACATCTGCTATTTAGAGATATAGCACTGAGGAGAAAGATTAGCATTGACAGGATGAAATACCACATAGGATTTTCTTCCTCTCCAAGCATACAGAAATTAAAAACAAGATTGAGTAATATTATTTTCCATAAGATAATTTCCCCATCAGAAACAGAATTTGATGAGATCAGATGCACACTGGCATATCACCATAAAACAGAACATGTTGTACAGTCTCAAAACAGTGATTTGATGATGAAGTGAGGAGATAATCTAGTTCAACTGGATATTTGTAAAGCATGAATGTCCTTCACATAGAAGTCAGTGACCTAAGTCATACTTATTTTAGAACAACTAGACAGAATTCTTTATAGGGACATATTTCCTAATATAAAATCACCGAGAAGCACAGTGTGTGTATATATATATATATATAAAAACAATAGACTAATATCATTTGTGTTTTAAAGAACACAAAAAAAAGGTGCTGGCATAAACTATATGGTTTCTGCTGTGTCACACTGTACTTGTTCATCCATAGTTATCAAGTCGTTTCTAAAAGAAGGTGTCTACAAACAGGGACACAGAGGCACAGATAACTAAGATAGCTTTCCATAGGCTCTCTAGCAAGAAATTCACCTGCAGAACATGAGTGACCTGAGCCTCAGCTTAATATTCAATTGATCAAGTCATGCAGTCTAACACAGTATCACTAGAGAATATTTTCTAAACTCTCGTAGGATTCTTGCTAAAAAAAAGAAAGCTGATAAAACTATTCCAGAGAATTTTATAGAATTTATCGGGGTGCTGAAATTTCTTTGAAGATCTTTCTTGATCATCAAAACCATTTTCAAATAGTCTAGTTACAAGTGTTATTTGTGAGGGAACAATGTCCTTCACATATACCACCTTCAGCTAAAGATTAAGCTTCCAGATCGCTTATTTGGAAACCATGACATTCAACAGATAGCTCGTCACCTAGACAAGTATTTTAAAACATTTATCCAGTCCCCATTGTAACGTATTTCAAAAGTAATTTCCTAAGTCAGCCCACAATGACCATTCAACTGTTTTTTCTGGTCCTTGCTCCCTGCCCTGCTGCCGAATGTATAAAAAACACTATTTCACATATTCCTGCCCACTAAATATAGTCCACATTTGCAATTGTTCATCCTATTCAGTAAGCTGTTAAACATTGCTAGAGTAATTGCCAGTTAGATGTACTATTCCCAGACATTGCTGCGTGTGAGCAGAACAGTATATCAGTGTTTCCCATTTCTTTTCTTCTCATCACATTCATTATTTTATCAAAGGGAAACATCTTGAGCATTCTCCATTACAGAACGAAATAATTCAGTGTGTTAATATAACACATGAGTTCTTAGTGGAAAAATTCTCTTTATTCACAAAGATATCGTGTCCTTAAAATGGACAATAACAGCCCAGTCACTGGGACATCAAACTCAAAGTTTACTGCCTCATGCCCCAAGTAGCAGACAATTTGTTTGCAGACAAGTTTCGCAAAAGAATTAAGATAAGTTCCTGAACAATAATGGCATTTCTTCTCTCTCTTTAGAGTCATACATATTCATAAGTATTTTAGGTGTAGGAACTGTTTCACCCACTGCCACACTACAAATTTAAGCTAGGGAATAAAGTTTCACATTTCAGTTGAGGTTCTCTGGAAGATTTTGACATAATTACTGATTTCCTTCAATTTAGACAGGATCACAGAATTAACATTTTATTAAATATATAATGTCACCTACTGATGGGAATTTCAGAAAAATCAGCAGAGAGCTGACCTTCTGAAATTGTTTCTCTTTGAGATAAGGAGAATTTTAATGGGAGAATGAAGTTGATAAATGTATGTGTGCATTTACATGAGCACGTACAAACACACTTAAAACATAAATGAATCCTATCTGCTGCTAAACCACAGGGGTATCTGTCAGTATTCACACAGTAGAACCCATGCCAGTTATAGCTTCTAATGCAGTAGCATCTACAAGGAAGCATGGGAATAAATTTAGAGGTGGCTCAAAGTCTCATAGTCACATTTGCTTCAGCCTTTAAGCAGAGAATAATGAATAACCAGGCTCAAACATCTCTGGATGCCATAGCTGCCTTCTGAGACACTTACAAGTTACATCCTACAATATGATATTAAACTCATCATTTTCTGCTTTAGAGGTGGAATGCAAAATGATTCAGATGCCTTATAAAAATCATCATGCAATTTAATTCCCTCAAGTGTCTTTTCTTTGTGCTTACAAGCAGCAGCAGAGGTTTTCTCTCTCACACCCTCTTTCATAAGTAAGGCTGTAATTACCTGGATGACCCAGCTTACAGAGTTGGAGAAAACAAAGGCAGACTTGGTCTTTCTTTTCTCTGTGTGTCAAAACAGAAATCACTCACTAGACTGACAGAGACAATGATTGAACTCACTTCCTAGAAAACAGCAGTTAACATTCTCCCCCTTGAAAAGAATGGTCTTTGCCTCTTCTTGCCACTTACCACATAAGAACAGAATAAATAAATAAGCAAATGAATTTCTGCTCTAAAGTTCATTTGAATCCCTGCCTTTGTGACACACGCTTTCCACTGTTCTCCTGAGTCAGTCTAAAGTTTCTGGCAGCTTGAGAAATATACATATAAATTAGGGAGAAAAATGAAAGAAATAATAGATAAAAAATAGAAGCTCACATACATTGTCAAGATATGAAATAGTCAAAGTAGCACAGAAACTGGTTCACGATGTCATGTAAAGTTTTGAGAAAATATATTCTCACTTGTCTGCATTGTTATTTCATTAGCTGAATGCCTTATGAAGGTCAGTAATTAAAGAGCAAAAGGAAAGAATGATGTTAATAGCTAGTGCTGGTATGACCAAAGTTAGATTTTGAACAGTGCAATTATGATTCTCAAGGAAACAGAGATTTTAAAAATAAATAAATAAAAATCAATAAATGCTGTAATAAAAGGATAAACGTGCATTGAGCCCAGAACATGAGCCACTAGAGAGACAAGTGATGCAGGAAGAAGCCAGCTCTGTCCACCAGCTGTCACATCAATATGGATTTTATTAATTCTTGGGCATAGCAGTTGGTTTAGAGAGAAAGCATCCAAAAAGCCTTCTTCAGTCCAATTTTTCATAGAGGGGATGGGATAAACTCCTTGCAATGTTTTATACAAGCCACTAAAACCATGGCTTGTCATTAGTGGTAGAGAACATAACAGCCTCCAGGCAGACTTTGCACTCTTACTGCTAAGCCACTGTTTGAAACAAACGGACCTATGACAGTTGACACAGTATAAGGAGTTTGCCCCTTTTGGTTTGAAAAAGATTCAGAAATTCCCAGAAGACTGGCTCTTTGATGCTTCCTCAGGTTCAGAATCTCTCA